CTTTTTGGCATTTGTCAAAATTAGACTTTTGATCGACGTTTTCTCTCAAAAACGCCTGAACCGATTTTAGAAATTTAAAAGCCATTTGATGTATTTCGATGAGGACTATCGTTTGTCAGTTTTGTGCAACGATCTGCCAAGCCGTTTCTTTGTAATTTGAAAAAAACTTTTCGTCGACATTTAAGCTCATCCTACCGAACGATTTTAAAAAATCAAAAACTGTTCGAAAGATATTAGTTGGGAATGATACTGATAAATTTTAGGTGAAAATCTACCGAGCCGTTTTCTTGTAATTAACTGTTGAAAAAAAGTGTTAAATTTTCGTCGACATTTAAGCTCATCCTACCGAACCGATTTTAAAAAATCAAAAACTGTTCGAAAGATATCATTTGGGAATGATGCTGATAAATTTTAGGTGAAAATCTACCGAGCCGTTTTCTTGTAATTAACTGTTGAAAAAAAGTGTTAAATTTTCGTCGACATTTAAGCTCATCCTACCGAACCGATTTTAAAAAATCAAAAACTGTTCGAAAGATATCATTTGGGAATGATGCTGATTAATTTTAGGTGAAAATCTACCGAGCCGTTTTCTTGTAATTAACTGTTGAAAAAAAGTGTTAAATTTTCGTCGACATTTAAGCTCATCCTACCGAACAGATTTTAAAAAGTCAAAAACTGTTTGAAAGATATCATTTGGGAATGATGCTGATAAATTTTAGGTGAAAATCTACCGAGCCGTTTTCTTGTAATTAACTGTTGAAAAAAAGTGTTAAATTTTCGTCGACATTTAAGCTCATCCTACCGAACCGATTTTAAAAAATCAAAAACTATTCGAAAGATATCATTTGGGAATGATGCTGATTAATTTTAGGTGAAAATCTACCGAGCCGTTTTCTTGTAATTAACTGTTGAAAAAAAGTGTTAAATTTTCGTCGACATTTAAGCTCATCCTACCGAACCGATTTTAAAAAATCAAAAACTGTTCGAAAGATATCATTTGGGAATGATGCTGATAAATTTTAGGTGAAAATCTACCGAGCCGTTTTCTTGTAATTAACTGTTGAAAAAAAGTGTTAAATTTTCGTCGACATTTAAGCTCATCCTACCGAACCGATTTTAAAAAATCAAAAACTGTTCGAAAGATATCATTTGGAATGATGCTGATTAATTTTAGGTGAAAATCTACCGAGCCGTTTTCTTGTAATTAACTGTTGAAAAAAAGTGTTAAATTTTCGTCGACATTTAAGCTCATCCTACCGAACCGATTTTAAAAAATCAAAAACTGTTCGAAAGATATCATTTGGGAATGATGCTGATAAATTTTAGGTGAAAATCTACCGAGCCGTTTTCTTGTAATTAACTGTTGAAAAAAAGTGTTAAATTTTCGTCGACATTTAAGCTCATCCTACCGAACCGATTTTAAAAAATCAAAAACTGTTCGAAAGATATCATTTGGGAATGATGCTGATTAATTTTAGGTGAAAATCTACCGAGCCGTTTTCTTGTAATTAACTGTTGAAAAAAAATTTAAGCCGATTTTCATGGCACTTTTTTTGGCGATATACATCGTGGTCTTATAGAACTTACTGTAATATTATGGCCTTACGACAAGTAGTTTAATTTTACAAATTCGTCAAAGTTTGCTAAAATTATTATCGTTTTTTTCAAAGTAGGATTGATAAAGAATATTATTTACACTTTTTTTTTATTAAGTCGATTATTTACACATATCGGGAAGTTCATGTAACTTGCCTCAAGGCTAAATACCAAACCAACTAGTTTCATTAAGGTGGGCGGAAGACTGTTTCTAAATATATTGTGAAAACTAAACCAATTATATCACAAGAAATATCACATATTAAATCAACAATTATCTGACTACGTTCAGAAAAACACCCAGCTAATTTATCATCGTAGAAATATGTTTTTATTACTGTTTTTTAAAAAATTGTTACTTGGTCTTTTTACCCTAAAAGCGAGCTAAAATAGAACAGTCAGGGGGCTTATGTCTTATTTTTAACTTCCCGAAGGAGAAGTTTATGTTTTCATCAAAAAATCCGATTCGCTAATTTTATGTTTTCTCGACGTTTCAAGCCATTCTGAATCGAATGAGATCAAATTTGGAAAAAGTATGTGTGTGGTTGTGTGTGTGGTGTGTGTGTGTGGTGTGGTGTGTGTGTGTGTGTATGTGAACAGATTTTTTGCCGTAAATCGACGTTTTCTCGAAAACGGCTGGGTCGATTTCAAAAATTTAAAAGCCATTCGATGTATCTCGACGAGAACTATTGTTTGTCAGTTTTGTGCGACGATCGGCCAAGCCGTTTCTTTATAAATGGCAGAAAAGTGAAAAAATTTTCGTCTACGTTTTAGCCCGCAATTCTGAATTGATTTTGAAAATTCAAAAACCGTTCGAAAGATATTGGTTGGGAATCGTGCTGATTAGTTTTTGGTAGAGATCGGCCGGGCCGTTTTCTTGTAATAAAGTTTAAAAAAAAAAAATTCGACGATTTTTATGATTATTTTTTTGACGATAGATACCATAGTCTTCTAGATCATACTAAAATATTACGGCCCTATGATAACTGGTTCAGCTTTAAAAATTCGTCAAAGTTTGCAAAAATCAGTATGGTCTTTTTGGCATTTGTCAAAATTAGACTTTTGATCGACGTTTTCTCAAAAACGCCTGAACCGATTTTAGAAATTTAAAAGCCATTTGATGTATTTCGATGAGGACTATCGTTTGTCAGTTTTGTGCAACGATCTGCCAAGCCGTTTTTTGTAATTTGAAAAAAACTTTTTGTCGACATTTAAGCTCATCCTACCGAACGATTTTAAAAATCAAAAACTGTTCGAAAGATATTAGTTGGGAATGATACTGATAAATTTTAGGTGAAAATCTACCGAGCCGTTTTCTTGTAATTAACTGTTGAAAAAAAGTGTTAAATTTTCGTCGACATTTAAGCTCATCCTACCGAACCGATTTTAAAAAATCAAAAACTGTTCGAAAGATATCATTTGGGAATGATGCTGATAAATTTTAGGTGAAAATCTACCGAGCCTTTTCTTTTCTGTAATTAACTGTTGAAAAAAAGTGTTAATTTTCGGTCGACATTTAAGCTCATCCTACCGAACCGATTTTAAAAATCAAAAACTGTTCGAAAAGATATCATTTGGGGAATGATGCTGATTAATTTTAGGTGAAATCTACCGAGCCGTTTTCTTGTAATTAATGTTGAAAAAATGTTAAAATTTTCGTCGACATTTAAG